ATTCTTGCAGGCCTCAGTGGTCAGGTGTACTCTTTTCACAGCATTAGGAAAACCACCCCGAATACTTGAATTCACATAGGACAGCGTGAAAATGCTGCTCAATACAAGAGGTATCTTCCCTATATACAAAACACATGCTTTTCCTACTTTTATCAAATCTTTTTCTACATACAACTACACCCTGAGTTTTCCTGCCATGTAAAATCATAGTAAACAGACTTTATTTTCAGATGTTTGTGACACAGGGAGGTAATGGATGCCTTTTCTTGTTTTTCCTGTAAATCAATTCCATTTTCTCAGTGGTAATGAACAGTAAGGCTTCTGGAAATGGGATGCCTGAAACAATGCCAAGAACCTTCCCATTCACAGAAATACTTGCAAATACCAGTCATAGCTCTCCACCCATCAGTCCATACTCCATGACTGGACTCTTCTAACCAACACCTAAGGATGAGGGCCTGAAGACACTTTTAAATTAAATTTGTTAGTTTCATAGATTGTGCTTTACCTGACAAATATTTGAGGTCTTCATGAGGTTGCACACTTAAGGTTTCATGAAGCATACATAAGCTTAATCTAATTTTTTTAACAGAAGCACACATGATAATGGAAAACTAGCATTTCCCCTACAAAAAACAATGCTAATTTATATTTAGGGTCAAAATAAATTCTATAGGCAAACACTCCTTTTGGGGACAGTGCTTATAATCAGAAGTGTTTATATATAATATGACTTAGAGCATTTTAAGTTAAAATATTCAATAACAATTAATTTGAACCATGTCATGGCTCATTCTTAAAGATTAGCATCGTTAAAAGAGTTTCTGCAGTGATTAGTGCTTAATGTTTTATGATATGCAGGATTCTGCAGTTTCCTTTTGTACACATGTTTTTCTGCACCACTACCATTTTGAATGCAGAGTGACTGAACAGTAACTTGTCGGTCAAGGAATTAGAAATTTCCCAGTATGGATAAACCATATATCCTTAGGCACTTTTGAGTTACAAAAGATATGTAATTAACAACTTCATAAGCTTACACTGAAGAGGAATTTATATTTTCCTAATAAATCTGTTTTCTACATGAATGGCATCTCATTTTTGCAGAGGGATTTTTTACCTCAAAAAAATGTTCTTCCAAATGTGTTAACAGAGGTTCAAAGGCAAAACATCACGTTACCAGCAGACCTAGCACTCTCTTCCCCATAGATGGTCTAGATGTTCCATATGAAAGAAACATTATATTGCCACCAATTACTGTTTCTACCCGCTCCCGCAGGTTATTTAGCAAAGAAACTTCTGAGACACTAACACAAGGCAATAAATAAATATTAAATGAGTTAAAAAAATTACTGCTCTCAACCTCTAACACGAAAACCAAGACTCAAATCACAAGAAACACAGTGCATTGCTCTGTCATGCTGACAACTTGAAGTTCATGCAATTACATTACACATGAAATATGAAGTTTTGTGTAAGGAATAGTGACTACTGTGTAGCATGTGGCTAAGTTTTTTTTCCCCATCTTGGTGCAAAACATTATTTTCTGCCCAACACCGCGGACAAATTATAAGTAATAAAATGTCAATGCAGCAAAGGTGTGAAGGGATCTGTATAAATCTTCCTTTTTATTTGTTCACCAAATTCTTAGGTCAGCTCTTGCTAACATTTGCCAAGCACACTTCTGAGATGACTTCAGGGAAAAGGAATTGGATTCTTGAATAATTTATTTCATCTATAAAGGAAGAGAGAAATTACTACATCCTTCCTATTTCTGACTGGGATGTTGCCCTTGTACTACTTCACATTTTCCCATGCTAATGTATTTTTTGATTTGTGTTTTTTTCCTCCCCCTCAATAGTTCGTTACATACATTCTACACAAGAGAAATGGATTTCCATAACATATGATCAGCTAACAGTTCAGCATATTTTTATTGTGAATTCAGGCAACTAATTGAAGAAGAGCTATTTCAATGCATTTGTTGTGTTCAACAGAAAAAAAAGACACTAGTAAATGGATTACTTTTTACCACTTCGATTCCCAAGATGTATGGAAATGATTGACAATCACTATTAGCATTTTAGATAAGGACACATTAAGATTAAAAAAGTACTGTAAAAATAGTTTGAAGAGTGTTTATTTTTTTTTTGAGCAGAACTGCTACTGTTCATGTTTACTTGTTATCTCAATGTTTTAAAACTAAATAATTGAATGTTCAATTAATACTTTTTAAAGCTTTCACTTTCTTCCAGCATGCAAAGCCAATTTTCAATTCAGTTCCAACTCAGTTTCAAATTCTGATGTCAAGTTCTCATTACTTTAGTATCTAGTAGCAATGTCTTATTCTGTGCAATGATTTATGTTTAGAAATTTTTGCAGAACACCGGCTATTAGCTATACAGTAAGTCTTACACTAACAAGCAGGATTGATGGGAAAAAAATGTTGAATAAAACTTATTTTATGTTAGTTCAACTTAAGCTGCCAATGAGAGAGGTAGATCCTTTATGAAGGTTAAAAATTTTCATTAATTTGGAACAAGAATCCTGGCAACTTCCCCTAAAAGTATCGATACATTCATATAACTAGTCAAAAGCAAAAAGAGCACAAAAATCAGATGAAGGACAAAAAAGAAAAAATTTGACAAGCGTCTTACTAGAACTTGTCATTAGAAATTATCACCACCTTTCCTGTAAAGGGTATGAAATTTGGAGAACAATTGGTTCTACCATGATTTCCCCTGCATCTAATGAGCAGGGGAAAGGAGTGGAAGTAATGTCTCCTATTTCCTTTAAGAAAATAAGTAAACAAAAATAAAAATACCTCCGAAGATTTACAGGGACACCTTCAGGCAAAGGCACCATTTGCAGCTGAAAAATGTCCATCCTAACTGAAAAATAAGGTGTCCATTTACTGAGGTTACCTACAGTTCAACACGAGAATAATTGGAAAACTTCTACATAAGACTTGCAAGACAACACCTCAAATTATGTTTAATGATTTTAACAGGGTGAAATGCTTATGCCTTAAAAGTTTGTGTACAATAATAGTTAGTGTTTATTTCAGTAAGAACAGATCTGGCCTCTTACAACACAGGACTTCAATAAAGGTGGAACAGAAGTAGATTAATCAAGAAATCTAATGAAACATAGTAGCATGAGGGAGTAACATTCACAACAATGATAACCCACCTATGACAAGATAGAATGTCTACCATCAGTATTTAGTTAGAAACGATATTATGCACTCTACTGGAACTGCAAATCTACGTATTCTTCCAGGAAATACGTTCCTCAGAAAGGAAAAAAACCTCCAAATATATCAAAAATATGCCTATGCTATAAAGTAAATACCAGCCAGGAGCATGGCTTCATGTTTGCCTTATACATATACAATAAAAGACCTCCAGGCAAAACCCCTGCTGCACATGAGTCTTGAATTCTTATTTCACAAGTAGAAGTCAGAATTTCTTTACTTCTTTGGTCACAGCCACAAAGCCCATCTTTAACATGTCATAAATGCCATTTTTTGGTGCAGGTTTTTTTTTCCTAATTTCAGGCAGATTATCACAGTCTAAATTATAAATTAAAATATAGGCATACATATACACACAAAACATGATTTGAAGTAAGGATAAGTTGATTTTTGTAATCAGAACTACTAGCCTTTAGGATTCCAGTGTTTTAGAACTGAAAATAAAGTGTTGCATTATTTGAATTCATATGAGTTTTGAAAATTCAAACCACCCTCACCTCCAAACCCTTCACTACTTTGCCATGACAGAATAAACATATGTTTATTTTCTAGAATTAAAAAAAATTAAAAAAATTAAAATTGTTGTTTTTAAAACTGTATTCCTCTTTGATTGAAAATTGAGATCAAAGAAGAAAGAAAGCACTACCCTTTTATTTTGACGCCTTTCAGAAAGCTTTGCAGAATGTACTTCCATTACAACATTAGCATCATGGTTCCTAATGAAGACAATGCCACAAAACACAGATACTTATTACTGTGATTTTCCAAAAGTCTGCCAGCAATCCAAGATACTATCTGATTTCTTCCTACATGGGAGAGGAGATTGGAGCAGAGTAGAAGAATGCTGCCACACGCTAAGGTCCATTGCCCTCACTCCAAGCAGGAAGGAGAAACGGGCAAGCCAACAACCTGCTTTCAACCTTGCCGAATCCCTGACTAGCATGGGCAGAACATGAAGCATAACCATGAAAATCTGCACATTTGCTTTTCCTTTCCTCAGAAAACACAAACCCAAACCTATATAAAAAAAAAAATCTCCACCAACCCTCCTACTACCTCAAGGAGAAAAAAAAAAGAGAAAAAGAAAAAAGAGAGAACAGCCCATCCTAAACACAGTCTGACATTCACATTGTGGACAATGGAATAACAGGAATCAACTATCTGGTAGGATCAACAGCAATACAAACATGCCAATATTCACATACACACTTAATGAGAACAGAGATAATAAATGGTTTTGGCAGACTAATTCAAAACCCCAGAATGAGCTCTATAGAAGAAGAAAGCTAAATGATGCAGGGAACTAATTTCAGTGCTCCGGGATCAGTGCTCTTCCATGACTATCTGCTTTTGAGAAACCTGGGTATTATTTATCTGCTTTTCCCTCGTTACCTATGGATGTGTTTCAATGCTATGGATTATTAGCCGTAATCAGAAAGCTCCAGCATGTTGAGTGCTGCGTAGTGAGAGCACAAGACAGAAGCATTGACCCACAGCAGCTGCACTGTCAAGGCTGAGATTTTGCTTGTCATCCCTCAGAACAGTGCCATCTGTAAGGATTCTTCACCCCTTTTTACCCAGGGTGCATTCCAGGGCAACTCAACAGCTCAAGAAAAGACAGTTACCTAGAATATGGGGAAGAAAAGGGGCCACCAGGATACAGCACGTTTCTGGATGACATACAGCTTTTGCAGGAGACATTTAAAAATATTACCAATGGAGAACAAATTAACTATATACTCACGGCATGGGGTGTTAGGTGTGTTCAGAAGTTGTGGGAATGCAAAGACAGCTGGCAACTTTAGTTCAGGTTTTTGATTTTCTTCCTTTTCTTCAGTCTGGTCAGCCCAAACTACTGATTTTTCTCTTTGAATCAGCTGCTCTACCTCCTCAAATTCAGCCTCAGTTGAATTATTTGTCAACCCAGCGTTTTTCAAAGTCAAGTATTGCTTGCGAAGAAGTGGAAGCAAAGTATTTAGTACTCTGTAAAACAAGAGGCAAGACAAATATGACAATCACAACTAATCTGATCCTTACTAGTACTGCCACTCTTCGGAATACAAGGGATTTTTTTGTCCTTCTCCCCCTTTCCTCACCCTCCAAGTTCTGCTGTGTAATGTATGTCATTTTGGGGAACACCATAACACTGAGAGGAAATATTCATAACTAAGTCGAGAGATTTTTGTTCTTTTGTAAAATCTTGTATTCCACTCTAAGCATTTACTAAGTATGGCTTTTCCTCAGTGTACAAGATCCTCAGTCCCTCAAACACCACAGCTATACAGCCAGTAAATCTTAAGTTCTGACTTTCTAAAATTATAAATGAAGAGTATAAACCAAAACGTGGTTTAAACCAAGCACTTCTTAATTAGATGTGTATAGAACTTTATTAGCTGGCTAGTCCAAATTAAAGATCCTAGCATATACATTTACATCTGGAATACATTGAAATCCACCCACAGCTACAAACCATATTCAAATGGCAACTTTAGGAATTCTATCTGAACACAAATTCATTAACTGCACAGTCATTTGCAAGACTCCACAGTAGCTTCAAGCAGTAGGGAAATGGTTATGTCTATAAAAACCCAAAGCAGCAACTCTGTAATTACTAACAACATAGCTTTCAAAATTTGCTTTCAGTTTTGCATGCTTATGTATAGCTTTGTAATGTTTATAACAGCCTTTTTTCTAAAGGAGGAAGAAAAGCTGGTTAATGATTTAATTATAAATTTAATATACTTATTTACTGAACAGACTTGCAATTACTCCTCATTCCTTATGTCACACATGAAGCTAGTCTCCAATCTTTTTTGAAGGCTGATAATAGAAAAAGAAAGAATTGATGCTTACCTGAAAATCTGGCTTTTTTCAGTCTGACTAGCTATATAAGAGTTTAATAGTAACAGTTTTTAATGCAGGTAAATGAGTGTCTACAGAGCAGGGAATTAAAAGAGAACACAGACACTTCTAAAACAATCAAGTACTGCTGTTAAACACAGCAGAGAAAAATAAGACACCATGATGTACTCAACAATTTGCAAAAACTATGCTAAGAAGAAAGTTAAATATAAAAAGCACAGCACTTATACCTGCAGTTTCTATCAAGCAACAGTGGATACAGACCAATTTTTATGAAGTCATTATTTTACTTTTTTTTTTAAAGAAAAAACAAACCACAATTCTAACCTAGAAAAGAAGTTTGAGAAAATCCTGCTTATTTCACATGAAATGCAATGTCTTCTAAAGTTAGAAATGTCAGAAGTCTTATCAGACCTCCCATGAAACCATACTCACCTTTCTGTCTGCTTAAAATACTCATCTTGAAGGGACACCAGAGCCAATGTGTGCTGAATTTGCGCTTTCAGGTCCTTAACCTCTAGGTTTAAATGGCAACACTGCAGATCTTTACAAAGTTCCTTGGGAAATTAGCAAGAAAAAAACCAGAACAAACTGAAAGTGAGAAACTAAAATTTAAACCAAAAGTAATATTAATTCACCCTATATTGAAAAATTAAAGATGGAGTGGATATATATTATTATAAGTTGTATGGTAAAAGAGCATGAATTGTTTGATTCTAATTTACATGCATAAATCCTGCTTTGTAGATTTCCTTTGACCAGTAGTGGATGTGCTGTAATTAGCATTAGGAATTCAATAGGCACACACGTATGCTTATCTGTGCATGCCCAGAAATACACTGGCCTCTTCTCCTGCAGTCTTCCTCCATATCTGAATTTCAGTGATATTGTCTAGGACAAATCTTCACTATATTCACTCATCTTCCTGAGATGTCAGTATCTTGTTTCAAATATCTTAATTTCTTTCAAGGTATCAAGAATACCATGTCATCTCATTAATTTGTCATCCCATTAAAATATTAGTTATTGAAACATCATGTAAGTGCTCATTACACTATCATTTAAGTCACTTCGATTGCTAGCTGAAACTAAAAGGCAGGGAGGAACAAGCCCCCACCTTTTATTCCTATTCCTTCCTGCACAGACCTTTGTCCCTTCCCTTCTGCCAGCCCTGGTGTTTGTCTGAGGCCACACGAGCTGACTACTTGTTGAAACTTGGCAGAGAATGTAACCTTTCCCTAGCACTCTCCAAAGAACAAACAAAAAAGTATTTTTGGCCAGGCTAACAATTAGGCTGTCACATAGTCAGATGAGCATCAAGGGCTACTGTAAAGGCAAGACCAGAAGTGTATGGCCAGGAGCAGGATCAACTCTGTCAGCCATCTGAACTGCTCAGCCATATCATGCTTCTTCCCCTTCAGCATTCATTTTTGTACGTAACTCTATACTTTCATGACAAGGAATAGTTGCACAAACAGTGAATTACTTCTAGGGCAGAAAAACAGAAACAGCTAACAGTAGAATTTGAAACCACCCTGAAAGAATTAAAGTAGAAGCCACGAGGAGAAACAAGATGAAGAGAGTTTAAAAAAAGCTATTTTTAACTAGAGTCAGATGTTGCCTACAATGCATGAAATCTGCCCTGGAAGCAAACGGCACTTTACCTTTGGAATACGCCCATCTTGACCCAGGAGGCGCATTTCATTTTCAACACGATGCAGCCAACTGGTATTTTCCTCAAAACGTCTGAGCTCCTCTTCTTTCTTCTTTTGCACCTGTACGCGGTGGGTTTTAAGCATCGCAAGCCTTTGATTCCGCTTAGAAGTGGCCTAAAAAAAATTAAATCAGTGTTTAAGAGGAAACTTCCAAATTATGTTCACAAACATCTTTATATGTTAAAAAAAAATTTTCTCCATACTTTTATACTTAACTGGGCATAACATATTTTGCCGTTTTCACCAGTTTAATAAAAGCGAGTTTAATTAAAGTAAGCACATTACCCTTGGGGGCATTGCTGAATTATATTTCAACAGATGCATTTTTTTTTCTTAGAAGCTCTTATAAGAGGTAACATAGTAATTTGATTATTCGTTTAACGAATACTACATTGGATCAGTTTTCTGTTGTAGGCCATAACTATCTGCAGTTGGAAAGACTAGAAAAACTACACATGCGCATACAAACACACTTCTAGATACAACATCACCTAATAATTTCCAGTACCTCAAGTGTGAATATGAAGAAGGAATTTTACCTGCTTTGTTTTCCTAGTGAGATATATCCTAGAAAAAGCCCATGAAAAGATAAAGTGTTTGGCAAAAGGAAAACGATCTGTCTTCAAGCATCAAAATTCTTCTGATGCTTTTCTGAAATCTGACAACAAAAAGGCACAAAGCCAGCAACAGCAAGCTGGATGGGAATGATGTAGTGTCCTAACAAGGCAAAGGAGACTTTCTATTCAGAGGACAACAATAGTTTGCAGAACACTTAAAAAAAAATTAGGGCACAGACTCAACTAGTCATGGAGAACATTAACTTTACATAGAATTCAGCGATGCCTGAACTTTAGCTAATCAAATCCACACAAACAAAAAAAACAAATCCACACAAACATTTGAAGTATTTTGTTACATTTATTCAAAACAAACAGAGAACCTAGTTGTTTGTTTTTAAAAATTATATAACCTAAGTCCCTATGTCCAAGCGTTCCAAAATTAACTCTCTAAATGAAGACTTCATCAATTAGAATAAATCTAAATATGTAGAATAGCAGGCCAAATTAGTTCCATTATAACCTGTCATAAGAAACTGTGAATGTACCTCCCTAATGTTGCACACAGCAGAAATTGCTCTAACTGGTGTCTTTCTGAATATTCTGTGGAAGACAGGAACAGTTTGTGGAGAGATGCAGATTGTATTTCTTAAGCTGACTTTTTAAAATGCCTACTTCGACTCATGGCACCCAGATCACAGGACCAGCATGGCAGAGACACCTGAACTACTTGTGTGCTCCAGGCAGCTTACCAAGTCAAAGGCTAGACACTGGCTAGAATTTCACTTAGCATTCTCTCAAAGACTGTCTTATCTGCTAAAGTAACAGAGGATCCAGAGAAGACTGTCATTTTTTTAAAGGAACAGCTCCTTAGGGAAAGTACCAGGAAGAAGAGTTAGTTGTCAGACTGCAGCTCCAAATGAACACTGGTTCCCTCTGACTGGTGAGGTGAGGAGCCAGCCTTCAGGACTGCTGAAGCAGAGAAATTCAAAAGACATTGTATTGCATACCTCAGCTTGCACAAGGTGCAGGAGACATTAGGACTGAAGGGGGAACTGACAACAACCCACCACCTGATGAACAGATCCCATAGGTTCCCAAGAAGAATGGATGTTACGCTGATGTGCTCCAATAGAAAACAACGCGGTTCTGCGTACTAGCTGTAGATCACCTCCGGAACACACGCAGACCTCGCAAGTTACTTGATTGCTACTCTCTGGTAATTGCAAAGTATCACAAGAGGTATAGAAGTCATCCCTTCCAGGTTGAAGAACCGGGATATATTCAGTGAGCGATTTCAGGTCCAGCATGTAAGCAGAAAAACTGAAACTAAGACAGATGGACTGCTTTCCAGGAATATGCTCATTTACCAGATAGTAAAAATAATGTTAAAGCGGCAATCAGAAATTGAGAAGTCACTTTAATCTATTTTTAAAGCCTGTCAAAAGTACCAGCAGTTATTTTGCCATGGCTTTAAAAATAAATTTAAAAAAATTGTAAGCCAGATTCCATGACTGATGCAGACACCATCAAGATAAAGTAGGTCAAAACTGAGTAGACCTCAAAGTAACTGTAACACAGGGGCACACACTAACTTCCTATGTTTCTGTACAAAGAGGATACATGTTCTGTTGGCACAAAGGTTCTCCGGCTAACACTGCTGTAGCTGATACCTAGCATGCAACAGGAAAACACCACAGATGCAAAATACAAGAAATGAGTGGAAGAACAGGCATTAGGCAGAAGGATGTAAACAGGTGCTTTAATTGGGCAGCATCCAAGTTCTAAAAAAAGCTGAGAACAGGGGTAGTTATGTGGAAAACTGAAATGATTTACTAGTGGTCCAGGATGGACTGAATTTCACAAGATAAACTGGGATAAAAATTTTTGCAAGAACAGAGAATAAGGTAACAAACTCATATGTAAGTTTTGTCCTTTCTGAAATTATTGCTTTGAAATCAAGTGTTCAACCTGGGGTTATTAACTTACCTAAATCATTACCATATCTAGTTACTGAGTATGGACAATAAAGTGCAAAATGAGAAAATATTTTAAGTAAAACCTTTCCCTTGAAAATTAGTATTTCAGAAACACCACTGTAGCCTTACAGAAAGAAAACCCAGAGGCATTTAGGAAAACAGTAAGTGTATAGAAATACAAGAAAACAGAAGCATTACAGTGTACAATGGCAATGTGAGCAGTGACTTTGCTAATCAAATGACTGGATTCCAATTTAAACCCCAATTGGTTTCCAAGTAGTTGCAAAAGGACATTTAATTATACCGTTACAGTGACTTACTCTTGTTGATAAGGCACTGTGCTTACAGGCCAGCGACTCCTGACCCTTAGAGTAAGTCACATATATGTTAACTAGCGGCAAAACCAACATCTGAGTGCAACACTGATAACATTAAAAAAAGTTAAACCAGCTCATAAAAAACATTTGTATGAACTAGAGTGTATGAAGGTGTAACTCCTCATTATGAATAGAGATATAGCTGTTCCATTGTGAGCAGCACTTAGCAAGTATGGAACAGATAGAAAATCCAAAGTAATATTTTCTATGACATAAGATTTCCAGAACACACTGAAATATCTTCATTAATGACAAGCAAAGACATATATTTTACTTTCATATTATCTAAGAACTAAATTTCATGTGAATCACTGGGAAAAGAGTCATGGTAAACAATAATTTTTGGCCAAATTCAGATTGTTACTGTGACTCAGCACCATCAGCTCCACACCTGACTTCATGAAACTTACTCCTTTAAGCTGACTTTTATCAGAAAAATTAAGATACTATCTAAACATGCTTGCTTATTTATATTTTGATTCTTCTAGAAAGACTTAAGCATTTAAAGCTGCAAAACAGCAGTTGTTCATACTTGGCCTCCAAATTCTTCTCTTAAAATTCAAGGCAATTAAATGTAGTTATTTCAGTTCACCTGACTGTCCTTAAGAAGCTATCTAAACATCTTCCTGGTGACAATAGAAACATGAATGTCTGGTTTAGCACGTGAGCTTTAAGTCTAGTCAGGTCTTGAGTAACTATGACCACCAAGTCTGTATAAGGACATGTTGAAAAAGTTTTCACAATTAGTAGCAATAGGCACATCAACAGCTTTCTGTGCAGTGCAGAAAAAATAGCACACCTGGCATTACTACTACTTTTCTGTATTAATGTCAAAAAACGTTGTCTGAGTGATAATCAGCATGCCCCATTTCAATCGTTTAAATATTAGCATTAATTATATAGTTACTTAAGCAAAATCATACATTAGTATAGCAAAATGAAGAGATGATACCTTGTATTACATTATAGACAACTCACCCTCTCTACTCTTTCTTCAGAGCATATCAGTTGAATTTGTTCATGACACTGTTTGTGGTAATGTGTCTTCAGTGCATTTTTTCTCAGCTGCATTTCCAACTTGAGGTATTCTTCCCTGATTTCCTCACGGTTTGCAAACACATTTTTAAGGACTTCTTTGTATCTATTAGAACCAAAGGATAAGAACAAATAATGGATTACTTACTGAGGGGTTATTAATGACCATCTCTTCTATAAAGGGAACTTTCAGTTCCAAGCTAATCAATATAAAAAAAGTAAGAGGAAAATAGTAAAGCCTGTTATATAGTGAAAATGCAGTACAGAATAGCCCAAAAGATACTATGTATTTCATAATGACCAACCTCATAAGCCACTTCATAACATCCTATTAACTTGTTAGAACTTCACATAAGGGCAGTTTAACATGCAAACATTTTAAAGTCTTGCAACCTTTGAGATTGTTACACAGTGTTTACTATAAGAACATAAAATTGAGTACTGTACAAATACTATGAAATAACAGATTCAACTAGAGGGCAAGTTCAAGAGGCATTCTTGCCATGTAGTTGATTCTTGCCAGTGTGTTTCAAAAGTAGCAATTCCATTTCATAGTCTTAAGTCTAAATAACTCGGTCTTTTAGTCTAGTGTTCTATTATTCTCAATTTTAAAACAAACATGGTTAACAGCAGAATTCTTCCCTACAGTTTCAGGCCTTCAACGGTTTTACTTAAGTGTCCAGAGAAGGCTAATGAATCCAGGTAAAAATGTGCACTAAAACACACATGTAATTTCAAAATAATATTTCTTAACAAATAACATAGTAAGCTGCAGAGTGCTGTTACTATCTATACAATCTGCACTAATGTGCACTATTACACAACTAGCTGGAGATATTTTCTTTCATATTATCCATGGAAACATGGTTCCTCCCAGCTGCCTGGGAAACACAGCAAGGAGAAACGAAGATGAATCCCCTCTTGCAATTTCCGTACCAGTAAAACTGTACACATAATTTGAGGGGCTGCAGAATCTGATGCTATGTACAGTCATTGTGATGAACCATTACCAGTAAATCAACCCTTTGTGTACTTATAATCAGTGCCCCAATTACAGCGTCAAGTATAGACACCTTTGCAAAGCCCCTGCCTTGAGCTGGACTCACTCTGACAGTAACTCCGTAAGAATAGAAGCGCGCTTATGTTCAACATCCCCTAAAAATGGCAAAGCGATCCCGTAGGCATATCCAGGTGTGAACTCTCTGAACTATTCAAAGAGTCTCAAAGAGCTCACGGGCTCATGAGTTTAGAGCTCAAAGAGGTCCCAAGACAGCATCCACTGTCTATCTCAATAGGCTCAAGACTTGAAGGGCTGGCAGATAATGCACCTCCAAGCTGTAGACAGAGGGAGCAATTTAAGGAGAAGTGCGGTAATCAGTGGACCTCTTTGAGGTAACAGCAAAGCAAAAGTCACGGGTAGTTGGACTGAAATACAGGATTGTGGTTAATGCTCTCCATCCTGTCACTAACAGAAGGAAGACGACAGCAGAATATCCCCAAAATTTGTGAATGAATATGGGAGAAATCAAGTCATTACCCACACTATCAGTAGAATGAACCTGACAGGATCCATATGAGGCAGAAGAGAATGCAACAGCCACTTCATCACTGACATCTCGAGGGAATGGGGTAGGCTTACATATGCGTCTGGATATTCTAGAACATTAAAACCCAAACTCTGTCTGACCAACAAACAGCATAGAGTATGCCCAGCATTTTGTAAAAACATTTCAGAGACCTTGCCCTTCACTGATTCTTCCCACACACATAGAATGAAATACAGGGCAAATCACAGGAAATTAAATTAACCTTGAAGACTTACAGTGCAAAGATATGCAGGAAGGCTGTCAGAACTATCAACCTAACTTAAAAACCTATACTTCTTTTGAAAATGAAATTTAAATAACCTGAATGAGAGGTTTATTGAAACCTCTGGAATGTCAGTAAAATGAACCTCAGATAGGCAGCATTTTTGCTTTGAATGGGTTTTTACTTGCACCTCAGAAGGTTTTTCCATGTTAAAAAGATACCACAATTAAAGGGCCAATAAAAATGAATAAACCTAGGCAACTAATTCTCAGATATATGTGATGAGATGTATGCAGACAGATCCAGAAAGACTTTCACACCCAGACATAACCTTCTTATGTAATAGATTGACTTCTGCAACAAATTCATACATCACATCTTAATTTGTTGCTTTTTGTGTGCTCTCATGAGAGCCTGTCACATCAGAAAACACAGAGGAACATCACCAAGAAGAGACCAAGAAATGTAAAATTAAGTAAGGAACCTACAGGCATAAATTAAGTCCTTTGTGCAAAGAAGAGCTTCAAGTTCTTGCCTCTCAAACCTTGCAAGTAGGGTACTATTGCAGTAGTATCTGCCAGCAGTTGCTGTCATTTATGCAAACTACATTCTGTATGCCCACAAAAATGACCTGATGAGTAGCTTTGCTGAAAGCTAGCATTTATATGTTCCTTCCTGCCATGTGTGTGTACCCTCCCACCCCTCACTGCTGAAACAACTAAAGCGGACTGTGAGAAGAAACAGCACCTTTAGAAATTGACGGTCTCATGCATTATATAAAAATTGGAGACTCTGTTCTGTTTGGTTACATGGTTCTGGAGTTACTAAAAGAGAGACTTGTAAACATGTCTACTGTCCCCCTCCCCAAAACATATCTTGATTATAACAGACCAGTTTATTGATAACATACCTTTAAAACTATAGTAACTCTTACTTGTAAGGCATTTTCACATCTTTTGGGTTAAGATTATAAACTTCTATCAGAAAAAGGGTTTTGTTATTATTATTATAAAAGGACTCTGCCCAGGTTTTAAGTGTCCTGCAAGATGGAGTTCTATCATCCTTCAAGTGAGACATTTGATTTGAGTTTTTCTGAAAAACTACATTATAATAATCTTGATTGTTGATAGTGCCATAATGATGTTATTTTTCTATGAACTCTTTAACTTTTGGTAGTAGAAAAGAACTTCCTTAGCCCTACAGAGCTCCGGAGCTTTGTAGAACACTTGTCCTAAAATTTTGTGTTATGAATGGTAGAATTTCACACCAGCATGTTAATACAGAATAACATCAGTAGCCTTGAGACAAAAATATCCGACTTCCCCAAGAAATATCCTTCTTACAATAATAAAGCTATTGATAAGGTTTAAAAAACTCAGCACATAAGCATTTTAAAAAGAGCATGCACACCAATGAAGCTCATAACTTTAACATTCAATTCCCTACCATAACACACTCTTGATATCAGTAGTTCTAATGAAAGTCTGATGAGAATAAATATAATCCACAGAATACTGCCATTGCTGCACTTCTGTCAATTTAGTAAATACTTCCTGAGAAAGTAACTACAGATACAAGACCTTTACCACTGATCCAAATTGTTATGTCAGACTGAGTTATGCAAGCTTTGTGGAATCTTGCCCTGTTTTACCGAATAATTTGCCTAGAAGGTTAACATCAGGATACTTCCTCAAGTACACAATAGTTGTTTTGTTTTAAATCCACCACCAAGTTGTTCTGAAAAGAAGTGCTAAGTTACGCAAAGCCACACCTAGCTTGAGTAAAGCATTGTTAAAAATGAGAAAACCAATACTGGAAAAGAGCAAGTTGGTTTTACAAATGCTTTTACAAGTGATGCAAACTCCAGTTTTGAAGCAAGATCATAATGCGATTAATTTACCTTTCCATTTCCACTTGCTGGTTGTTTGAAAGTACTGCAGCATGATTTTCAGGAATGCTTGCTTGCTTTTCTTCGTATTCTCTCAGTTTCTCTTTCAACATTAGGATCTAAACCAAAAAAGGTACCTTTCAGTCAGAATATTTTTTTTTTTAAACTTCTCATTCTGTGCTGTCTTGAAAAGCTTTACAAATGGCAGCACGTGATATTCCTCTTGGAATACAAACCATCTATCTTACTTCAAAAGACTGAAGGGGAGAATTAAGGCAATATTACCTTATAGGTTCAATCCCATAGATATTTTTAAATTCAACATTATAACAATTAAACTTTCAAACTTAATAGTAGATTTTTTTCATACCTCTTTTTTTTGTTCATCGCAAATTTTAACATACTGGCTTATGTGACTGTCCAAACTAACAACATTGCTCTTCAGCTGTTAAAAAAACATAAGTTAGAATTTAAGTAAGTTCCTTCATGATTTTCTGCATAATACATAAACTGTGTATTAGTGCTACACATCTATCCCTGCACTGTATTACAAGCAAAGGGATGAATGAAATCCTGACTTGCACAACAAACATTACTCTCAGCTTTTGCAGTAGTCTGTGGCATAGCCATGGACATGTCATTTCCCCCCACTGAACAATAAAAATAAATTTACATGTGCAAGCACAAATTTATATTTATTCAGACTAGTTTTATTGTTTAATGTCTCTCACACATTTTATGATAAAAACTATCTTTAAGTATGCAATAAATGGAAGCTACAGTCAACCCCATATTACATAAAAGAATTTAGGAGTTGCAACACAAAGGATTATGAAAAGAAATCAGAATAATACAGAGTAGAAAACAGGACACCCCACTTCTTGGCTCCAGCTGAATTCTACCTGTGCAAAAGCCAGTCCAGGTTTGTTACAACTGTTCAGACATTTCTTTAATATGCTTTACAGTTCTCTCTGTAAGTAACAGTAAGTTACTGAAACTGGCTGTGAATTCTTCCAGCTGAGGACTATTTCTGAATTTGACGCTCACAAAACAAGCTCTTTCAGACTGGCAGCATAAATCCATTAATGAAGCTATGCTCTTTTTAGGCCAGAACTAGTATCTACTCTACTAATCTATCAGTCAGATCATCATCTGATAAAGATATGATTAAGAGTTTACTGTAAGAAAGAAGGGGTAACTGAACAAAATTGAGATGAAAGTAAAAGAAATTATAATCTTATAAAAGTAGTAACCCTCCTTCTCATAATACTACATTATTATTATACATTGACAGAAGATCAATACCAACATACTCACAGCTGACTTGATATCCTTTGCTCGGTTTGCATACTTGAGAGTATTATATGTATCATCATAGAACATGGAAGATGGACTAACAGCAGCTATCATTATTGTTCGGCAATTTCCTCCAAGGGAATCTTTCAATAAACGAGTAAGCTTGCTGTTTCGATAAGGAATGTGCTGTTTCTTGCTCTAGAAAGAGGTATATGCATTTTTATGGATTAGTCCACTGTGCTATAAATAGTCACCTCCCTAGAAGTCAGGTGAAAATTTCAACAATGTCACAAAACATGGGAAAACAGCCTTGGAACTTTTCCTTGACACGAGCCATTCTTCTCAAAATTATACATACATCTCAAATGGTTTAAAATGTCATGGAACTGTTTAATACCTTTATAACACATGTATTAGCCAGGTTACTTTCTGATGTCCGGATAAGTAACAACTATTTTTGTTATGTGGGCAACTAACAGAAGAGGTAGACTACACTGAACTACTTCCAGTTCACAGAATAATCGAAGTTGGGAAGGACATATCAAGATCCATTTAGTCCAACCCTTCCACTCAAAGCAGGATCAGCTAGAGCAAGCTATCGAGAACTATCTTCAGTTGGGTTTTGAGTATCTCCAAGGATGGAGACTCCTCCACCTTTCCAGGCAAACCTCTGTTTTGTGAAGCTTTTTTTTTTCTGATCACATCTACATAAACTTCCTTACTTCAATAGTACAGATTCTAGATTCTGCCCACTCCAACAAGGTAGTGATGAGAATGTGTGGCACCAGGAAGGCAAATAAAAGCCCTTATCACAAAGTTGGGGGTTGGAAGGGACTGTCAGAGACCATCTAGTCCAACCACCCTGCCAAAGCAGGCTCATCTAGAGCAGGTTAGACAGGAACACATCCAGGCTGCCTTTGGATATCCCCAGAGAAGACTCCACCACCTCTCTGAATAGCCTGTTCCAGTGCTCTGCCACCCTCAAAGTAAAGAAATTCTTCCTATTATCATTCGTTATATCAAATGATACCGTTCCCCTGGCATATTTCTAGGCAATAGTTACTAGCTAACCAGAAGGACATAAAGGCTGTAGCTGTTAGGCAATGGACTTGACTGTGGCAATAGTCCAAGAGGTTTTGTCTTTCTCCCATACAACTGTCCCCACTCCTTCCCTTGCACTAGTGAACCAGATCAGGAGACCAACTCAATACTGTCAACAGGGTGTGTGGGGACATGCATAAGAACAAAAAAGAACAATTTTGGATAACTGTTGTTTTCTCCTATAAAAGCCTCCTCCCCCTAAGAGAAAAGGGCATAATTATCTAGAAAAATATTTGTCCTTGTAAGGCTATTTATTTATTCATGCAAGCTATATGCTTGATTTTGAAAAAGGTGGGTAGGAAAAGCAGGTACATTCATCTTTGACACCACCCTTAGTAGCTGCACTCTGAGAACTCTTTGCCATTGGGATTGTCTTTCAGCTATCACAGATAGGATAGTGCAAGTGCACAAGAAAAGCTTAAAAGGAAAACGATGCTGGAAGAAGCTTCAGTGTAATCCCCATTACTCAATGAGAGCTTACCTGTTAAAAAACAAAGTTTTCACAACACTAGGAGGTGAAGATTGCATGGGAAAGCAGCACATACCTTTGGATCTGCCAGAGCATTAATAACATTGCCGAGAGCTAGCAGGGAGCGGTTAATATTCGTTCCTTCTCTAAAACGAGCCCCCTTGGCATTTGTCGCAGTGGCGCGTTCAGATCCGGCCAGGTCAATGAGAGTCATTTTGGCGACGCGAACATTTTGATTAATACTAGCTGTTTTTTCTTTCTGCCTTAGATAAATCTACAATAAAAAATAGAAAATAGTTAAAAAGTAACCACTAACCAGTCTGTTACTCTAAGCAGTTAGTTTTTTCTACAGTGTAACAACCCTTTGCAGAAATTATCATTGGAAACCAGGAAAAAGACTGGGCTTTTGGTGATTTACATAGCTTAACTACCATTAATATGAGAACAATACTCATTTACTGCTGTAAAAGTACATAGTACTCCAGGGTGTTTAGAAAGCTGTAAGCCTCTGAGTCCATCGGTTCCACCACATCCCTTTTTTCCTGAAATTTTCACTCTACAGGAGATATACACGGAACTAAATGCCTTTGCTTCCTTGTGTTTGTCAAAGTACTCTTTCTTCAAGTTTATGAGGAAGTGTATAATCAGAGCATTTATACAGTCAATAAGAATTACAGTTACCCTTAGGTGGCTTTTACTTTAGGTAAAACACTTTCCTTCTGTGTTGAGTGCCTTGCTGTCTGTAAGGCTAACGGTTTCTGACACTGTCACGAACGCACTTTTAGACAGTGAATTGGGAAAGAATTGCCATGCATAGGAGGCGATCGACAAATAAAGACGGTATCTCACAAGTTCTGTAGCTTTAAGCTTTGTGGATGAGAAATGAAGTCTTCACAGGAATTTGTAAGAGAAAAATTGGCAAGTACTGGGACTGAATAAAATTCTTATGGACTTGCCACAAAAGGTATGTTTATACTAAAGACATGTTTCTGTATCAAAGTAAGTTCTGTTGCACTATTTCTAGTATAATATTGGAAAAAAAAAAAAAGAAGAGAAAAAAGCCACTTCCTTGTATTTACCTTGGTAAAGTAGCTATCTGGGCTGGTAGCTCTACCAGAACCCAGTAACTACCAGTAGTAAAGTAGGAAAGGTGGAACAACAGCCAAACTACATTGTATGACTCAAGCTTTTATAAAAATTCAAAAGATACAGGAAATGCCCCAAAGCAGAATCTTCCCTATTTCTTTGTCCGTCAGCAGAACACTTTCAATAAAACAGTATGGCAATTGGGATTTTTACTTTCAGATGCAGTAATTGCCTGACCTAGATAAAGATTTCAAACCTAAGACAGATGGAACTGTAAGGCAAAACTTGCATCTCTAAAATCAGCTCAGAATATCCTAGGCCAAGACTTTTACTACTGAATCAGTTCCAGAAAGTGTCCTGCTGCAATACAGTTAAAAACAAAGCCAGCATAAAAGACAACTGATCTCTACAAATAAGAGCAACTCTTAACAGAAAACTTAAAAATGAAGAGGGATCAAGACAGCATTGGGATTTCTCATCGTTTATATCTATGGAACCAAAGAGGCAATAAAGGACAAGCAGGTAAGACATTTTGCAGCATGTCACAGATTTGTGGAAATAGCTGAGAAACTGACATCAGTGCTTCCTTGTAGTACTAATTGACTAGTTTGTAATTACCTCTTACAGATGCCAACACTGCTAATAAGCACATCAAGTAGAGCATCTAAGAATTCACTTTAAAAAAGACTGCTGTGAATCTTCTTAGCTTAAACCAGTACACATTAATTAAAATCTGTTAAACTTCCAGTTGCACTCATTGGACCAATCTAGTTAGGAACAATAATATTCCTTTCAAGTACAACAATGCAGATGCAGCATTTCTATTAAGGATTTATTATATACACGCGTTTTCCTAAATAAATGATGTAATCCTCCCCTCCTCTCAAGCATAGTCACTTTGCGCAAAGGGCTTAAGACCCATTCACTGTTCAATGTGTGAATAGCCTGTGAACAGGCTATTCAAAGGCTGGCTTATTCACTGGCTTATCTTTTCCTTGAGAACATACAGTATTAGGAGATATTTATACAAATCACACAGTCAAGATACAATTGTCTAACAAAACAATGACTTCTACCAATAGATTGTGCACTTAACATTTAAGCTAAAGCAATTAAATATGTTTATTGACCACTAGACCGTCTCAAAATACAAAATAAACTCAAACATTCATGAGTATCTCTGTACAGGAGTTAACTGGCTTAGGAATATTGTAAAGAACAGCAGAGAAAGTTTTTGCTAACTACAGTATCCTTAACAGAATCAGTCTGACAGCCCGTGAGCAAACTGCGTACTGGGACTAAACGCTGAGTGCACAGCGGAACATACTCTCAGCCATGGCATGGCACTGCCTCATCTTCACATTGAAAGGTCTTTTCCTTCATGAAAAAGTTCTAACATGTAGACATTTGTCCATGAATTTGCATTCAATCAAGCATGCCATTTAACTGCCTGCAGCTGCATATGGAGACTGGCTAAGAGGCAGCCAGTGTGTTTTACACAGTCAAGGAAGGCTACTGGCCACTGCTGCTATTGGGCCACAGAAGAACAGAAAGAACAGAGATTAGTCCAGAAATTACTTTGGCAGTTACCTTAAGCTCAAAGGCAAAAATGTTCACACTAGTTTGTGCAGTCTTAAGAATTCTATATCAACAACAATAATGATCTCAGAGAAAAATCATTCAGGGCTGCAACAGCATATGCTTTTTGCCTTTTAAAGGCAGATGCTTACTGTAACAGTATTTTGTAAACATTCAAAGGATTGTGGTTTGGACTCTCGTGCATCACACCAATTTGCCGTGTGTATATAATATGTGCACACACGAAACAAAGCTTGTTCATTTTAGAACACAAGAAAGGCACTTAAACCACTGAACATGACAGTTCTCATTCAGGGCATCGCAAACAAACTGCATCCTGTATATGTTTTTTACATATTATACACATATACACACAGAGAGAAATTATATATTTGCTCTTCCTGTAGTATCCAGATATGAGAGGATCTTTGTTTTCATTGTTTTTACTTATACTGCCAGAGAGTAAAAAAAACCCTCTCGCCTGAAAACATCAGATTTGGTTCACTTTTGCTGTAAACTGGAAATAGCATGAAATGATGAATTTAAAGCAAAGTGTAAGTCTGATTAAGTATACCCATCCACTTTTTGGTCATACATTCAAGCAAAATTGCAGTAAGATAAACTACACTGACAAAATCAGCATACCTGTATGTGGTGAACATGCAACTTCTGCTAACAAGTTAGCTTTATCTACAGTGAGATCAATTTACCAGGATAAATATTAAGTGTAGGCTGGAGAAGACAAACTCCCCAGCATTCCTGTTCACAGAATTGTCTTCTTGTTGAAGATCTATGGGTCTGCAGCATTTACATAATTTAATTGCTTGCCACTTTTAGAAACAAACTGAGAAGAAAGCAAAGCCTGCCAAGATAAGACAACCAAGAGCTCTTTCTTGTGAAGTAAAGGGGAAGGAGGGTGGTAAGACACTCCAGCCCAGCAAGGAAAGAAACACAAGTCAGCAGTTCACACTCTGATCTCAGTCTGTGGCACTGCACTCAGTGCCTTATTAAAGGCAGCACACATACGCAACAGCGCAGCTCAAACTGAACAACTTCTTAGGAAGTCTTTGCCTTAAATGTATAACCATAGGCAAGACCTCAGGGGAAATGAAAACCTGGAAGGGCAATTTCAAGAACACAAGCCTAAGGTATATGAGAATGTAGAAGTTTCTAGAGTGGGAACAACTTTTGCTCTGTTACATATTCTAGAAGAATTTAACACATTTACTGCCAGTTTTTAACCCCTTTTCTCATTAGTAGTGACAAAGCTCTGGAGAGCTAACTTCGCAGCTACTTGCATCGCCATCATCTATGCCAAAATACATTCTTTTGGCTGTAGTTATTAAGCATTGACTAAGTCTGCTGATACAGTTAGGAACTGCTTAACAGTTAAATAGTTTGGTTGTAACTGAAGGACCAAAATTCAAATCTGATTTAATATTTTGTAGCCTAGAATGGCGACATATAAATAATACAAGATAACGTGCTTTGCAGCGTGCACTAACAAGCAGAAAAAAGAAGTTTTTGCTAACAAGACTCATATTTAGATACTACTTTTTGAAATATCACAGATAGTGTTTGAGGAGTCGAAAGGATAAGGTGGTGATTACCAAACAGCATCAATCTTTGGAGAAGCCTGAAGTTCTAACAGATTTGTACACAGTGTGCAAAACTGATCCATAGACACTAAAAAACAGCATTTCTTTTTGATGATGCAAGTATATGTATGGAGATATTTACAGACAGTATAAACCACTCAGTTGTTCTAGAACTTGATACTTACAAGAAAATTAATAAATCACTATAATGCAAAATAAACATTAATAGAAGCAGGATGAGAAAGTACTACTTGAGACTCTCAGTTTATAGTCAGATGTACAACTGCATTCTGCAAAAAATATTCTTCCTAGAAAAATGCTGAGCAACATAGTAAAATCAGAAAGCATTCAGAAAACCCGTGAACTTTCAGTTTATGAAATTACAATATCAAAGCACATTCATAGCCCAGAATTACAGTTTCACAGAACATATATTTGTTCTAAGGGATAGTAGTTCAAACAATTGGACTAGAGAGCTTTTCTTTGAAATATTTTTTTTTAAATATAGTCACTATGAACCTTTACATACTTAACAAGGAATAAGAAGTAAACAAGAACAGTAAACCAGAAAACCTTGATCTCCCCTCACCCAGACTAAGGTTCAACACAGTTTTGAAAAAGTTTCTGTTGTATTAAAAATTTAAACAACAGCTACAACTCACAGTAATGACTATTGTACATCTGCTATATCATCTTACCTGAAAGACTGCATGGGACCGGGAAGAGGAGGCATTTACATCTGTAGGATGCTGTGTTCTATTTTTATTTCCAAAATCCAGCATTTGAAGGATTTCCTCTGCCGATTTAGGCTTTAAGGGTAGAAAACATTTTACAAGCAAGGTTATTTAAAAAAAAACAAAACATGAGATGTTGCAGAGGTGTAGAACGCTAAGATGGCACTGAAGGCCACAAATTTCTTTAATAAATGTTAAGATGTTTTAGCCTAAAAATGAATCTCCCAAAACCTGAGGATGAGCATGAAACCAATGGTACCCTTTCAACTATAAGGACTGAATGTTTTTATCCATTTATACTCAAGACTATTAGCTTTTTCTCCACAACATGCTTTAGTAACTTCCAAACCTAATTAATTATTCTAAGGAACTTGTGACCAGGGCCAGAAAAAAGCCCACTTGGAAATTACCAAGCTGCATACAACTTTCACAGATCAATGGGAACTTCGCTATTTCCCTAAATTTCAGTATCTATTTACATACCTGATGTAATGTTAGCCCTTGAACTACCACCCCTTTCTGGGAGTCTTCACGAACAGCCAGAGGTCCTGAGTTCACCAGCAGATCACGGATCTGTTCATTGTAGACCTTTAAAAGGGAGTTTAAAAGCTTTTAATAACGTTATCCTACCATACTTGACAGGATAAAACTCAACTAACCAGAAATCACAGTCTTTTTTAATAATTTAAGACAAAGTAACATATTCAGTATGTAGAATTTTTGTTAAACACTATTCCTATACAAAGCTTGAAATATTCAGTTACTAAAAACTGATTTTTTTAGCTACTGAAGTTAGAGTCACACTCTCCTACTGAGTATTCTTTACTCATTCATAAAAAAAAGTTTTAAAACTTTTTTTAAAAACACCTTGGCAGCAAGCATGAATCCAAAGCGTATGTTGTCCTCTGTTACACCTCATAATCCGTAGTTCAGTGCGATTTCCTAACCCATATGTACTCCTGTTAAAACTCTCAAACACCTTCTTTCTCAGCCTACGGAAGTACTTGAAATAGCATGTGGCAAAGCAAACTTTTCCCTCCTCCTTCTCCCTCCCCCAAATATTAACTATTCTTCTATTAAGACTTTGAGGGGCCCAAAAGCTACTGATTTGACTACCACTGCCTGACAGCAGTGACAAGACAGCTACTTGTAAGAACACAACTGTGATGCAAAAAAGAGACAGTGACAGCAAAGAACAAAAGAAGTATTTGTCAAGAGCTAACCATTGGCGTAGCAGCTCTAATTCAAGTAGTTTTACCATAACTTAGACAAATGAAATAAATGGAAAGCTTTAAAAAAAAAAAGAAATCATCAAAAAGGGATTATCATTTTGTTGGTTTCACAGCATTGATAGTATTTCATTGTGAAGTCCTGAAATATGTCCCCAAAAAGTTATTTTCTTGGACACATCAACAGGTGTTCAGAGGGACATAACTGATCAGTAAGACAGCCATAATTAGAATGTTTAGTGAACATATTAGAAGAGACTGTCCTTTTGGGGAAGCCTTCTGTAAAATAGTAACAGGTGCCTAACACCAAACTTGTGGAGCATAGTTCAGTTCCGTTCCTATCAGGGACACATTTTGCAAAGCCTCTGAAAGGACTGGGGGAAGGCAAAACCAGCTTGTCTATTTATAAAAATATTCCTTATTAAAAGCAGCACACCAAATACATGAACTGGCTTACCTCTAAATATGAGACAGCAATATCACATATTTTATCTTCTTTTATTTGATCCATGCAGTTATAAAGTGTCATCATGGTTAAATACATCACTCCAGGATCTTCAGGGGAACCTAACATTGTATAAGTCTTTCCAGCTCCTGTTGCACCATAGGCAAACACTGAATTTTCACACACACAAATAGAAAAACAACAACAAAGCAAAGAGATGCACTTTATTCCAGTGAGCTAATCGGGATTGTAAAAGTCAAATGGACATTCACACGCCTCTCATTCTGCACAGCTGTTTTCATAAACTGATCAAGTTTCTTACTTAGGCTTGCCCTTTAACAGCTATAATCAGAAAGCTATTTCAAAATTACTTTTTTTTATTTTTCAGATCAAAATTTGTTCACTATAAATTTACATGGAAACATTATTTGATTACTCTCATGAACCTAAGCCATCAACTTACTGCAGGAAGGCATTTGATTTCCCCACAATATTCCATTGTCCAACTGAAAAAAGCTCTTAAAGAGAGTTCATAAAGCAGGCCACCACACAGTCAGTGGTACAATGCCTGGTTGAATAACTTTCTGGAGGACTCTCCTCATAAGCATGCATATTTCAGATAAAATTCCGAAGTCTATCATAACCTTAACATGAAAAAGTTTTCAAAAAATAGAGCTATCTTAACTTCCATAAGCTAAAAAGTCAGCCTCTCGTATCTATAAATTAAAACAAAATGCTTCATTTATAACAGCCTTTTTTAAGGTCTCTGCAGCAGCCAGATGCAATAGTAGAAACCGACGTATTTAGCAAAATTTTTGAATTGAAGAAGACAAATAGCAAAGTTACCTGTGCAGTTATATCCATTTAAGAAGCCATCAACTAGACTTTTAGTAGTATGTTCAAAAACTTCCAACTGGGATGAACTTTCAGCAAAAACAGCATCAAACACAAATTTAAGATCTTTCTTTACTCTCTTATTAATATCCCTGTGGGTCAGTCTCTTCCCATGAAAGAAGCTGACTTCTTCCTCCTTCGGATCAAAGACCAATATGTGCTGATCAACAACATGAACGACCTTGCTGAAGTTGCCATCTTTCTCCTTCTGAGATTCTGGACGGACACGAACCACCACTTTCACATGACTACAAACATCCTCTTCATTAGCTGCAGACATAACAACGTCCCTTTTATCCCTCTTCTTTGCTTCCAAGGCTCCTTCAGACCAGACAGCTGAATCTTTTCTGCAATTGACAGAAAAAGAGTGAAAGGCCTTGTATTTTAAATAAGGCTTTCCCAGTAGTTCCCACCTTTATTGGGGACTAACACCTTGCGTATCTACTGGATCGGCCCCTCCCGGGTTAGCCTGCCTCTGGGCTGCTACAACGCCAGCACAACTTCGGACAGCACTGTCCCTGGCCTGAAAAGGTGACCTAATTCAGCACAACTTTAAGAAAACTCATTAGGACTTTCTAGAAAATTTGCAAAGCTTATTTCAACAGATTAAACTAATTCAGCAACTTCAGAGCAAGCTGGCAGGTGAGCTCCCAGGTTTCCACAGACCAAAGCGAGTTGGTTTGTTGCCCTTTAGCAAAAGGCAGAGCAGCCGCCTATCTGGTTCCTCCGGGTACAGGTTCAGTCACATTTCACACAGGTTTAAAGAGACAGTTAAGTAGGTGTCAGGTTAACGTTACGTGCACGGGACAGTCCGCAGATACCAAACCAGAATTCCCTTTTAACCGGCCATCCCTGCCTGTAACCGAGAGTTGTTCGCTCCCAACAGCGACATTCGCTGTAAAGGCTTTCGGTAACACGTTTTTAGCCTCGGGGCAAACTTACTCTCTCTGA